ATCTAGGCACCCACCAAGAGCCACTTCATTTGCATAAACTCAAGTATGATTGAAAGCGGCTTATGATGAGTAGTGAAAGATGCTCCCCTCACTCCTAGGAATAAGGAAATTCCAAGGGTTTTAGGAGCTCTGTGCTGGGAACCGAGAATGAAGACCAAATATATATATATATGTTCTATTGTATCACAATATCACACCCTCATACTTACATCAGAGTTGTTGGGAGCCTTAGATAAGACAAGATTTGGAAAAGAGTTATTAATTAATGGCAACTCTTATTAATATTAATCCCTCAACATTATCTCAAATACAATAAATCCAGTTGACTGTAAACTCCTCAACAGAAACTGTTTCTTAGTCATATCTTTATTCCTAGTAACCAGCCTAGAGCTAGGCATGATAGATGTACAAGAACTGTACAGTGAAATGTCAGAAACAACCCCCTAGTCCCCCGACCCTGGCCCCGACAGGCTCCCCTCCTTACACCATCACTGACTTTCTCCTAGCTTAAGATTTGGTGTGTAAGGGAGGAAAAATATCTTTTCCTTCTACCCATCTTATTAGGTTCATTGGCTGGGGACCCTGTAAGAAAAGACAGATGAAGAAGAGAAAAGCAAACAAATGTATTCAATATAAGTTTTTCATGACACAGGAGCCTCCATAAAGAAATGTGGACCTGAAGAAAGTTAAATCTGAGTAATTTTTTTATTAGTGGGTTTGAATGGAAAGTAGTGAAGGATGTTAGGGCAGAAGAATGAGCTAAATGTAGCAAATGGAGGGAAATAGCCAGGCCTGTTGTTCAGATTGCTCTTGGCCTCCCTGTCTTTGGAGATAGGGATGGTTCCTTTGCTCTGGGTAGAGGGAGGGTGCCTCTCACATGAGGGTCTTATGACCTGCATCAGGGGAAGGTCAGAAAATCCTTCCTAGGTTTTATAACTTGCCTCAGGGGAGGAGAACAGGGAAAGGTCAGAGAGACCTCCCTGCACATACTGTTTCCCAAATTCCTTCAGCTTAAAATGTTCAATATGCCGGCCGAGCGCGGTGGCTCACGCCTGTAATCCTAGCACTTTGGGAGGCCAAGGCGGGCGGATCACAAGGTCAGGAGATCAAGACCATCCTGGCTAACATGGTGAAACCCTATCTCTACTAAAAATACAAAAAATGAGCCGGGCGTGGTGGTGAGTGCCTATAGTCCCAGCTATTTGGGAGGCTGAGGCAGGAGAATGGCGTGAACCCCAGAGGCGGAGCTTGTAGTGAGCCGAGATTGTGCCACTGCCCTCCAGCCTGGACGACAGAGTAAGACTCCATCTCAAAAACAAAAACAAAAACAAAAAACAACAACAACAACAACAACAAACACCAAGGTGCTATATTTTCAGGTAGCATGCCCTGAATCCATCAGGTATCTTGGCCATTGTTGATTCTTCTTCCTCCTGTGTCTCCCACCTGAGATCTCTCTCTAAATCCTACAATTTCTTCCTTTTTCTTTTCTTTCTTCTTTCTTTCTTTTCCTTCCTTCCTTTCTTCTTTTTCCTTTCCTTTCCTTCCTTCCTTCCTTCCTTTCTTTCTTTCTTTTTCTTTCTTTCCTGTCTCTCTCCCTTCCTTCCTTCCTTCCTTCCTTCCTTCCTTCCTTCCTTCCTTCTCTCTCTCTCTCTGTCTCTCTCTCTCTCTCGACTTGACAGAGTCTCACTCTTTTGCCCAGGCTGGAGGGTAGTGGCGTGATCTTGGCTCACTGCAACCTCTGCCTCCTGGGTTCAAGCAATTCTTCTGCCTCAGCCTCCCAAATAGCTGGGATTACAGGCGTGTGCCACCATGCCCAGCTAATTTTTGTATTTTTAGTAGAGACGGGGTTTCACCATATTGGCCAGGCTGGTCTTGAACTCCTGACCTTGTGATCTGCCTGCCTCGGCCTCCCAAAGTGCTGGGATTATTACCAGCATGAGCCATTGCGCCTGGCCAATTCCTTCCTTCTAAATGTCTCCCAGTGCCAGTCTCTTCTTCATTCCTGTTATTTTCATCCTGGGCTAGTTCTGTACACTCCTCCAGTACCCAGCCTCCAGGGTGGCTTTGTGGCATTCTTAGTCCCGCCTTAGACTACAGACAGTTCCATTCTTCCTGGTATTCTCTGAAGACAAGCACCCATTTCTGGTCATTGTGTCCTCCCCATCCAACCACTCTTTGGTGCCTGGCACATGTGACATGTTTGTAGCATAGAGAGATTCAGAGTGAGGGGCAAGCCAGTAGCAGTGAGACAGAGAGAGAGGAGAGAGAGCTGTGTTACTGGGTGAAGGGGAGGAGATACCAGAGTGGCTGGGGAATCTATGTGACCCGAAGTTTCTGGGAATATCTGGATCACCGAGGCACAGCTCTTCTTGCCTTCTAGGCTCTTTGAGGGTCAGTGACAGTTACCTTGAACTAACTGCTGTGATCAAAGCCCAGGAGAATGCTGAGTACCTGGCACCAGCAAATGTTTTGAGCTGAGGTTTCCTGATAGAGGAGAATTTCGGGTAGATTTCCACAGTGTTGCCTAATTGAGTCTATCGGGTGAAGTGTAAACTCTGAGCCTCTTGCCAAACTTTAAATTGCTTCTGGGATAGGACCTGGCCCCAAAGCAACTGGTCCTAAATTCCCAAGACAGTCTCTGTGGGACTCTCTGGAGAGAGTGTGGTGTACAGAGAAGAGAGGGAGCTGGGCCTGGTGCCTGGGCATGGCTTCCCAGCCCACCCTGGGGTGCAGCCCCTCCAGGCTGGGGCTCCTGGCTGAGCCTCCAGTTTGAGAGCCAGCCTGTGTCTCCTTGTCTCACTGAGTCCCAAGGTCAGGCAAAGACTTCTGGGGCTGCAGTTGCACCTTAGAGCCCTCTACACCCAGGGCCATTTCGAGACACCAGGACAGGAGACAGCAGTTAAAGAGTACATGCCCAAGTCGAGAGTGTGCACCTGTGTTGCCAGGGCAGCTCTGAGAGACATGGCCTCTTGGCCTGCTTGGTTTTTGGCAGGGTAGCACTCAGAAGGACAGGTGAAACCAGAGCCAGTGACATGTCCTGACCTCGGTAAACTGGCAACCTCCCCACTCCACCAGCCTGCCTTCCTGCAAACAATAGATGCAGCCCAATAGGATCCCAGACTGGACCCTAAACTGGGTAAGTGCTAGGGGACCTCTATGGCCAGTTCTTCACCAGCTGGGGGGAAGAGGCATGTACAAAGAGGTCTGTGCAAGGGGAGGGCTAGGGGTAGAATTGGGTTTGGGGATGAAGCTACTAATTCCAAAGCTCTGAAGGCTGCAAGTGTGTCAAGGAAGCAGGCAAGTCTAACAAGAAGAGCCCATAAGGTAGGCTTAGGATTAGTGGAGGAAGGGAAAAGTTAGAAAAAGGCAGATTTCAGGTCCCTGAAGAGCTCTAACAACCTGGGCTTTCTGACAATGACATTACCTTGAGCCCCTTGTTGTCCTAAATGTTTAAGCAGAGGCTGAGAAATCACGTATTGAAGAGAGGATCCTATGGCAGGTGGCTCAGGGGTGGGGACTGGATTGATTTAATATCTGAAGATTCTGTCAAGCCTCAGATTCTGCACTTCCTGATACTGAATGGAGTTTTTCTCTAAAAATAGTTCCCCGTCCCTTAATTCCTAATATCCTGAGATAATCTTTTTTGGACATTGTATCATTACCATTTAGAACAAAGCACCCCCACTCCCCTTCTTCAGAGGCGTGTGCTGCTCACAAACATCTTCCCTGACCTCAGCTTCTTCACTTTTGAACTGAGAAGGGTTGAAACAGATTAGTGATTCCCAAGACCGGTATACATCAGAAGTACATGGGGGAGCTTTTATTTGAAAAGCAAAGCAATGAACAAAAACAGATTGCTAAGACAATCTGCCAAGGTAGGATCCAGAAATCTGTATTTTTAACCAGCACTTGGGTAGCTATGAGGCAGTTGGCTTTTTGTCATTTTGGGCACCCTGTGTCAGGACCTGATGACATCTGGTGTTCCAGATCTCTTTGGAGATGAAATTGTGGTGATAATCCACAGTGCAGATTTTTGTATTCTAGAAGGTGGAGTAGGTTTGTGTGTAAGCATATCTGCAGATCTTCCAAATGGCATTAATGGGATGGCGTTTCTCATTGAACTTGATGTGGGTGTGATTCAAGGCTTCACCCAACCCAGGCTGGGGGTGTGAATTATGAGTGGGTTCCCACAATCAGGCAAGGCAATATGCCACCAGTCTAGTCCTGGAACAGCAAAGAGGCAGGCAGGTCAGACATGGTTACTGGAGGAAACACATGATTCCTTCTCCCCAAACCAGAATTCTGAAGCTTTTGGTGGGGACTCCATGTTATAGGTTCCAGAAACTCCGTTTTGTCAGATTTTGTAGATCTGGTCAAGATCAGATGAATTGATTTATGCTAACTAAACTCACAAAAGATGGAACTGCAAAAAGATACTGAGTAACAAATAAAACTGTTAAGGAAATAAGAAGTTGTATGTTTTGAAGCCAGCACATTCTCTCCCTGTAAGACTGTCTGTATGAGAAGTTAAATTATAATAGAAACTTGCTGGGTGAGGAGGAGCCAGACACAGAGGAATGGGTCATGTGACCTCAAGGGCCAGGGTCACCAAGCCATGACAGCCTGAGGTCTCCAATTATATGGCAGAGGCAGAGTTGCTCAGAAGCCCCTGATTTCCTACAAAGTGCTACAGACAGCACATGCAGTCATGTGATATGGCTTTTGGTATATTAATATCATTGTTTAGGCAGAAATGTCCTTCATTTTTTTCATTCAAAGTTTTATTAGATTTCCAAGGTCTATTCTTCCAAGGCCTGCTACACAGCCTGGCTTTTAGATAACTTGGTTTTTTATAGTTGAATCTAACAGGATAAGTTTATTTATAATTTTAGAGACATCATACTATCATTCCCATGTCTTGACTCAAGCAAGCCGTCAAAAAATAAACATGTATTTTCTGCCTTCATTATTCCTAGGGATGAAAGAGAGAGTTTGAAATGGAGGTATCCAACCAGTCTTCTGTGATAGAATTTGTCTTGCTTGGCCTCTCTGCCCATCCAAAACTAGAGAAAATGTTCTCTGTGCTCATCCTGCTGATGTACCTGGTGATCCTGCTGGGCAACGGGGTCCTCATCCTGGTGACTGTGTCCGACTCCTGCCTGCACACACCCATGTACTTCTTCCTTGGGAACCTCTGCTTCCTGGACATCTGCTACACAACCTCTTCAGTCCCTCTGGTCCTGGACGGTTTCCTCACTCCCAGGAAAACCATCTCCTTCTCAGGCTGTGCAGTGCAGATGTTCCTCTCCTTTGCCATGGGAGCCACAGAGTGTGTGCTCCTGGGCATGATGGCGTTTGATCACTACGTGGCCATCTGCAACCCACTTAGGTACCCAGTAGTCATGAGCAAGGCTGCCTATGTGCCCATGGCTGCCAGCTCCTGGGTGGCTGGTGGAGCCAACTCCTTGGTGCAGATCTCTCTTGCAGTACAGTTACCCTTCTGTGGGGACAATGTCATCAACCATTTCATCTGTGAGATCCTGGCAGTTTTAAAGTTGGCCTGTGCTGACATCTCCATCAATGTGATCAGCATGGGGGTGGCCAACGTGATCTTCCTGGGGGTCCCAGTGCTCTTCATCTTTGTCTCCTACATCTTCATACTCACCACTATTTTAAAGATTCCCTCAGCTGAGGGGAGGAAAAAGGCTTTCTCCACCTGCTCTGCCCACGTTACTGTGGTGATTATCTTCTATGGAACCATCCTCTCAATGTATGGGAAGCCCAAATCCAAGGATCCCCTAGCGGCAGACAAACAGACCCTTCAGACAAACTCATCTCCCTCTTCTATGGACTTCTGACTCCCATGCTGAACCCCATCATTTACAGTCTGAGGAACAAGGATGTTAAGACTGCTGTGAGAAGCCTGGTGGCTCAGAAATGCTTGACTCAGTGATGAGTTATATCCCATGATCCATGCACTCTGATGGCTCTCACTTGAGAATCTCAATTCCAAGTAAAGCTAGGTGAGGGGCAAACTCAGTTTAGAGCCATGCTACTCACAATGTGGTCCATGGATCAGCAGTATCAGCATCACCTGGAAGCTTATGAGATGTACAGAGTCTTGGGACCCATTGCAGAACTCCTGAATTGAAATTTGCATTTTAACAAGTTCCCCCAGGTGATTTGTACAGATGTTAAACTTTGAGAAGTATCGGTTAAGGGTCTGTAGTGGATGCTGTGGTGTGCTGCCCGGATTCCTGTTCACTCCACCTAGCACTGAAGCACTCATGAGCCCTGTGAGTACTGACGGTCAACAGCATTCAATGGAGTCTCTCTGCAGGGTTGCCTTTGACTAAAGAGTACTACCTCACCCAAAGTCACATGCCCTTCTCAAGGTCAAATCATACACAATGATATCAATGTCAGTATAAAGACCCAGTCCTCCTTGCCTCAATGGGGTTATCTCTAAAGGGTCATCCCAGCTGGAGAGCTTTCCCATGGTAGTTCCAGCTCTCCCTCTGCCTAGCCCTGCTTCTTCTATCTGCTCACATCCTGTACAGGTGTCGATCTTTTAAAATTTTTATTTATTTTAATTTTTATGAGTACATGGTAGGTGTAGATATTTATGGGGTACATGTGATATTTTGATACAGGTATACAATGCGTAATAATCACATCAGGATAAATGGGGCACCCATCACCTCAAGCATTTATCTTTTCTTTGTGTTACAAACAATCCAATTATACTCTTCTAGTTATTTTTAAATGTATAATAAATTATTGTTGACTGTAGTCACCTTGTTGTGCTATCACATACTAGACCTAGTATCACATACTAGATCTTATTACTATATTTGTGTACCCATTAGCCATCCCCACTTCTCCTCTCCACCAACCTTCCCAGCCTCTGGTAACCAGTGTTCTACTCTCTATCTCCATGAGTTCAATCGTTTTGATTTTTTGCTCCCACAAATCAGTGAGAACATGCAAAGTTTGTCTTTCTGTCCCTGGCTTATTTCACTTTCATAATGACCTCCGGTTCCATCTATGTTGTTGTAAATGGCAGGATCTCACTTTTTTGATGATGAATAGTACTCCATTGTATATATGTGCTACATTTTCTTTATCCATTTGTCTGCTGATGGACATTTAGGTTGTGTCAAAATCTTGGCTATTGTGAATAATGCTGTAGTAATCATGGGAGTGTACATATCTCGAATATGCTGATTTCCTTTCTTTTGGGTATATACCTAGCACTGGGATTGCTGGATCATATGGTAGCTTTATTTTTAGTTGTTTTGAGGAACCTCCAAACTTCTCCATAATAGTTGTACTAATTTACATTTCCACCAACAGTGTACCAGGGTTCCCTTTTCTCCACATCTCCACCAGAATTTATTATTGACTGCCTTTTGAATAAAAGCCATTTTAACTGGAGTGAGGTTGTATCTTATTGTAGTTTTTATTTGCATTTCTCTGATGATCAGTGATGTTGAACACCTTTTCATACACCTGTTTACCATTTGTATGTATTCTTTTGAGAAATGTCTAGTCAGATCTTTTGCCCATTTTTTCAGTCAGATTATAAAGCTTCTTTCCTATAGAGTTGTTTAGGCTCCTCATATATTCTGGTAATCAGTCCCTTGTCAGACAGGTAGTTTGCAAATATTTTCTTCCATTCTTTGGGTTGTCTCCTCACTTTGTTGATTGTTTCTTTTGCTGAGCAGAAGTTTTTTAACTAGATGTGATCCATTTGTCCATTTTTGCTTTGATCCTGTGCTTGTGGGGTATTACTCAAGAAATCGTTACCCAGTCCAATGTCCTAGAGAGTTTTTGCAATGTTTTCGTTGAGTAGTTTCATAGCTTGAGGTCTTTGATTTAAGTCTTTCATTTTGATTTGATTTTTGCAGAGGGTGAGAGATAGGGGTCTAGTTTCCTTCTGTATATGGATATTCCATTTTCTAAGCACAGAGGTTTTGATCTTAAAAGCACTTCTCAGTAAATGTTCTGCATGAAAATCTTCCCATCAGCACCAGCTTCCAGGGAACCCAACCAGTGACAGACAACAACAGTCAATCTCAGCACAGGTATGTGAACAGTGTGTGTATACACGCCCTTCTCAGGTGTTTTCTGTACTTCCAAGGACAGTAACTTCTTGAATTCTTTTTGTTTAAAAATACCAGTTGTTCCCTAAAATGTTTTTCATAAATTAAATTCCTCTAATTTTCATTTTTATACATAAACTTGATTTGTGTTTACTATGTAAGTATTTTTACTCCTGAACAGAGGGTGCAGAGAGTAAACAGGGCTGTTTTAGCTACAGGGCAGGAGGGCTCAGTAGCCAGGTCTTTGACATTTTATTCAAGGACAAAGATGTTTGAGCTCTGGAAAACATGTTAGTCCTTGACTACAACAAAACAAAACAAAACCTAAAAAAAAAAACTTAATTATTTATTTACATAAGAGAGAACATAATGTTCTCTCTACAGAAGGGAACATTATGTAATCTTCAATAATGAGTAAACTTTTTTATTCATGCATCATTATTTTAAAACAATCTGTGGATTAGACACTTCTACTTTGCAAGAATTCCTGCATTTTCATAGTTATTGTTGAGAAATCATAGAATTGTAAATTAAATGAGCCACTTATAAGACAAATAATTTTTAGAAGTAGAAAAATCATCTCAAATTTACCACAAAATTATACATAAAGTGGAATACATGTTCATTTTGACATGATGTGGGCTACGACCTCTAAAATAAGAGTGCCCAGGCCTGGAACAGCCGTGAGGGGTACGCGATAGTTCCAGATCATATTTGTCTGCAGCACCTGGAGAAGTCATTAGCATACAAGTGCTTAAAAAGACACACAACTGTCTTTCCCCTAGTGTCTTTCAATCTCTCTTGCTCCTACTCTTGTGCTCAGAGACTTGTGGCATGTGTGGCTGGTAGACTTCTATGGAGGGCTTAAGTGAGGGCTCAGATGGGTGAAACTTTTTCCTAAGAGAAAATCCAAAATATGCCAGTCTCTAGCTTAAGGTCTGGGGTAGTCTGTGGGCATGGGGACTCCAAACCAGGGAGCTTCAGAGCTTCTTTTCCTCAGTCTTCAGGGAAATGACAAAAGCATCAGTGGAGATGGCCACGCCCACACATCGTAATGAGAGCTCTGCGCGTGTCCCCCTGCAGTGACGTGTGCAATGATATCTATAAGGATGCCAAAGATGGTCAAAGAACTCTGATACCAACTTCCTTCTCCTTCTTACCAAGGCATAAGTAGTACCCAGAGTCTTTTATTAGCAAATCATTCTGTATCGCTACATGGCCATCTGCAACCCCCTTATATACCCCAGGGTCAAAAGCAAGGCTGCCTACTGCCCATGGCTGTTGGCTCCTGGGTGGCTGGCAAAGCCAACTCCTTATTGCAGATCTCACTAGCCATACAATTACCCTTCTGTGGGGACAACATCGACTTCAATTTATTTATTTATTTTGAGATGGCGTTTTGCTCTTGTTGCCCAGGCTGGAGTGCAGTGGCACGATCTCAGCTCACTGCAACTTCCGCCTCCTGGGTTCAAGCGATTCTTCTGCCTCAGCCTCCCAAGTAGCTGGGATGACAGGTGCCTGCCACCACGCCCAGCTAACTTTTTGTATTTTTAGTAAAGATGGGGTTTCACCACATTGGCCATGCTGGTCTCAAACTCCTGACCTCAGGTGATCCACCCACCTCGGCCTGCCAAAGTGCTGGGATTACAAGCATGAGCCACTGTAGCTGGCCTCAATTTCCCTTTAACACTAGTCTTTATTTTATGTTTTATTTTGTTTTTAATTGACATATAATAATTTTACATATTATATTCATATACTGGGGTACAGTGTAATGTTTCAATACATATATACATTATGTAATGATCAAATCAGGATGATTAACATATCCATCATGTTAAACACTTGTCATTTCTTTGTGGTAATAACATTCAAAAATTATCTTTTCTACACAATATATCCATTAACAAAATTACACTCGTACCCCACAAATTTATACAAAAAACGAACAACCACCCCAAATCCTCCCTTCCAACTATTTTGAAGTATACAATGCATTATTGTTGGCTATTGTCACTCTACTGTGTAATAGAACACCAGAACTTATTCCTCCTATCTGTAACTTTGTAACCATTCACCAACCACTCCCCATCCCTGGTGACCCCACTTTCCCTAGCCTCTGGTAACCACTATTCTATTTTCTACTTCTATGAGATCAACTTTTTTAGATTTCACATATGAGTGACATTATGTGGGATTTTTTCTTCTGTGTTTGGCTTATTTCATTTAACATAACATCCTCTAGGTTTATCAACGCTGTCAAAAATGATAGGATTTCATTTTTTAAAGAGCTGAATAGGATTTTGTCGTGTAAATATATCACATTTGCTTTATTCATTCATCCATTAATGAACACTCATATTGATTCCATATCTTGGCTATTGTGAATAGTGCTGTGATAAACGTGGAAATGCTTTTATCGCTTTTAACATACTCATTTCGTTTCCTTTGGCTAAATGGCCAGTAGTGGGGTTGCTGGATCATATGGTAATTCTATTTTTAGTTTCTTGAGGAACCTCCACACTGCTGTCCATCATGACTGGACTACTTTGCATTCCCACCGACAGTATATTAAAGTTCTCTTTTCACCACATCCACACCAGCATTTGATATTTTTTATCTTTTTGATAATAGCCATCCTAACTGGGGTGAGATGATATCTCATTGTGGTTTTGATTTGCATTTCCCTGATGATTAGTGATGTTGAGCTTTTTTTCATATACCTGTTAGCCATTTGTATGTCTTTCTTGAGGAATGTCTATTCAGATCTTTTGCCCATTTTTAAATCAGATTATTTGTGTTTTCTGGCTCTAGTGTTGTGTGAGTTTCCTATATATTCTGGATATTA